GCTCTGAGGGTACTGCACTTTGAACTTGTCATGCAAGGACTCTATGTCGTCCTTCACACGCTGGATAAGCTGGGTCTGGTACTCACGGATGGCTCCGCGTATGTGGGGGCGGACAAAGAGAGCATTGAAGCGTGAGAAAATGCGGAACATCTCATTGGCGTTCTTAGCTGTGCCTAGCTGGTCACGGAGGCGGGCGGTGATGCGGGTCTCTACGCGGTCGATACGCTCATCATAGCGCTTCATCGCAGCTTCCCAGGCCTCCATTCCCTCCTTTGAGACATCCAATCCATCCACTTCCTTAACATTCTCATAAGCCAAGTTGACTTCTTCAATGGCATTAGCATCGGCAGCATCAAAAAGTACTTCTGCCACTTTCATGTCAGGAGGTTCCACCGCTTCACCCTGTGCATGCTGGGGAACAGCAGATACCTACAAAAACACCACCACACAAGTGGAAAAATGGACAGAAAAAAAAGTAAATAAAATGAAGATATCTCACCAGTCAAATAATCACAGGCTACTGTAGGAATCCAACATCGAGTTTATCTTCTCCAAGTATTATTTCAGGTTTATTTATACAGATATTTTTACGACAGATGCTGTTACAAAGCAGCTTAACAGTAATTCTTCTTGAAAAAACTAAAGTGCAAGCCACTGAGAAATAAAACTCATCATTATTAACGTGGTGACTATTTGGACATTATCACAACATAAACCTGAACAGTGCAGCACTGTGTTGCAGTACCTGAGGTCTCAACACACGGACAATTACAGCTCTAAGCTGTTCATGCTGTCTCCTGAAGCGTCTCATGTGATCCAAACGGGCCTGCAGCTTTCGGTGTGCAGGGCTGAGGCGCCACACCATCTTGAGATTCTCCTCCCTCTTTCTCTTCACAATGTCCCTCAGGAGCACCTGTAGTTTCTCATATTCATCCTCCCAGGTCTGGAATACTTCAAAGCAAGCCACCATCACCTGGTGAAAAAACATAAGGGAAAGGAGTTACCAACATGCACCAAAAGGAGCAATACCTGCAAAAGGTTGTTCCACTGATGATCAGTACCTTCTCAAATTCTTCATAGGCCACATGCATGAGCTTGCGTGTACCCAGCACTTTAAGGAGCTGGGAGCTGAGGTCACGGGAAATGGCCTCAACCAAACGCAGGGCTCGCTGGATGGGATACTTGGTGTTGCGAATTTTGCGGAGGTGTGTAAAGATGGCCACCAAAGCCTGACGGATTTTGTCCAGCTCTGTGGCTGACAAGAGATCGTTGAGTGGAAAGTCCTTCATCAGAGGGTTGTAGTCATTTACTGTCTCCACAGCTTGCTTCAGACCTGAAAATAAACCACAAACCATGGAATTCTGCACATGTTAATAAATAAATAAATAAAAGCAAAATAAACACTATAAAGAAGTCTCACCAGTGTCTGTGTCAAAGCTGACAGTGGCATGGAATCTTTTGCCATGCTTAAGAATGTCCAAGGTGAGCAAGACCTCTGGACTTTCTCTCTTCTCTTGAATGCGATTGAGGGCACGTTCAAGGTTCAGCCAGAAGCTGATTTCCTGCAGTGCTGTACCAGAAGCAGGATCTCTATCCAGTTTAGTCACCTTTAATGAAAAGGTACATCAACATTATATCAACTTTGGTTTGTCAGACCCAAAATAAATAGCAGAACATCTCAGTTATCAAAATCTTTCAATTAAAACAAATCTGCTGAAAGATCTCAGGAAAGAAAAATTCCATACCTTCTGGATTTCCCTGATCCAGCGATTAACACCCGACTGCAGTTGGTTAAGGAAAGTGGGGTCTTCTACCTTATCACCAAAGTCTGTAACCTTAGGCTTCTCCCCACGTTCATAGCACTGCTTGGCAATGTTGGTGATGATGGGATGAATGAGGAGACTGATCTCCGGAATTTCTATGTTCTGCTGCAGATGTAGCAGCCCCATCTCAAGCTCTGCAATCTTTTTCTCTACAGAGGGAGCCATCTTATCTCCATCCCTGAAATAAAAAGAAATACAAGAACTCAAAGTATCTAATGAATAGGATCATCAAAATTTGTACATAATTGTAACAGGTAGTGCTGTGCCTCCATATAGTATTTTAGCCAAGTTTTTTTTTTCTTAAGTTGTCCAAATTATAACCTTACCTGTCAGCTTTACCAGACTCCCGGATGTAGGATTTGAAGAAGGGAGCCACAGCATTGCTGATAAAAGAATGCAGCGTCTCATAGGGAGAATCTTCACTCAGGGTTAGAACCCGGACTTGGGTTGAAATGGGCTTGTCAGCATCGATGACCCCAGTTCTCTTAATTAAAGCCAAGCTGAAAGTTAAAAAAAGAAAAAACATGTATAGTCTGAATTCAAACGCAAATGCTTCAGAATATCAAACAATAACTCAGCAAGATGCACTTAAAGACATTTAGGAATGCGTCATATTACACTAACTTAGCATGGTCATCAATTCATAACCAATCAGGAAAAGCCATCAGAGATTTTACCTGTTGGATTTAATCCCATAGTGGATGTCAATACTGATGGAGTAAGAGATGCACTCCTTCTCCTCCTCTCCTTCATCTCCAACATCCTCTGGAAAAGACCAAAGCATTAAGTAAAAAATATTATGACATGTTTGAATAAACTCAATTCAGACAACCACACCCATGGCACAAACACAAAGCTACAGCTAAATCTTTAAGCTAGTTAAGTCTTTTAAGTAATTTTTGCCATGATTGTCATTTTCCATGTATGCTTGAGATGCACAAGACATGTAAGTTACAGATTCAAATATTTCCTTAATATAGCAGGCTGTAAGAATACAATATTATTAGCCACACTTGGCTTCAGGCATGTAAGACTAAGGCCACCATTTCATATCAACTGAAGCCCAATAATGAATGCAAAGGTTGAAATCAAAGTCTAAGCCTCACAGCTCACTGCTGAATTAACTATTTTGGTGCAGATAAGAGCAAACTTCAAATTTCAGTCATTTTGATCAAGCATAGAAGCACATACTAGGGTCAATTAACCTCCTTACTCATTGTCAACAACAATCAGATTCACCCCGATCTATTTCAGTTTAATTTTGAACTACTCCACACACACTGGAACCCAAGACAACAGCTGGGCTTATAACACCATAAAAGCAAACCTCGAGAATATCCTTTGATCTACTGATCCACTGAAACTGATGCTACCTGAGGAGTGCCTATATGAGCCAGCGGTTGTTAATGATGTTCCAAGCAGTGTGGCACACCACGTTAATAGTGATGACCTACTGCTGTAAGAGTGATTTGCCATGTCACGCCTCACTACTGCAATGCACATCGATTTAAGCATATAAATCTGCACTGATAATCAAATTACACTGCAAAAAACAATCCAACCTCAGAGAAATTAAGTATAATACTTGCATTACTATAAGAGACTGGCTTCACGTTTGTAACCTTAAGAGTTTCTCTTAAAAAGGATGGCAAAACAAAGCAGCTACTGCTCTGGTCTGGTCAGTGATGAACCGAAGCTTGAGGACACGCCTTAGAAAGCTCATGAGAAATATGATACCGACCGCATGATCCACTGCCTAAAGCAGGGGGTGTCAGTCCTGCACGGCTACGACACTGCAGTTCATTGTTTTCCCCGTTTCAAAAGAACCCACAACTGGGACCAAGTCGTCAAAAATAATACATTCAGCACAAACGTCTGGTGTTTAAGAACTACTGGGAACAGCTAAACACTAAATATGGTATCCAAACACCTCATTTCTTATCTAAGTTAGCTGCAATGCTCGGGAAGAAAAAGGAGCTTGCGTTAGGTAGCAATATCGTTTTAAATATGTGGAAATGCAGCTCAATAAACAGGGTGTTGACAGTAATGGCGTCTGGTCGGCTCCTATTTAGTTAAACATGTTCACAGTTTAGATTAGACGGAGCCATTGGAGTATCCTCTGACTCACTCAGCACTACATTTAAACGTATAAACTGTAACAAACTAGCTGGTAATGACAGCCCAGTTAACGAGCAGCTACGCAGTTAGCTGGCTGATGAAGCAACGTTAACGTTAGTTCAGACGCTGTCATTGTTTGGCGGCTCATGGACTCGACTCGACGCACACTGAACTACACATTTAGAAACCTTTAAAGCACTTCAACTGACCTTTCAGACAGCTCCGCTCAACTAAGACGGTGTGAATCTGAGGATCGGCCAAGAATTTTCTCATCTGCTCAACCGAGCTCTTTTCCTCCAGGGCGGTTTCCAGAGAGGCCGGCACCTCGCCGCCATCTTCCAGCAGCAGAGGCACCAGTTTCCTAATGTGTTTCTGCAGCACCGAGGTGTCCGCCACCGTCTGCACGGCCGCAGACACCTCCATCGTGCCACCGCCGTCCTCGCCTCCTCCACCGTCAGACATTTTTGTCGCTGAATAAGCCGCTATCGACCAAAGCTACAGACAAAACCTGCGCTATCACAGACTCCGCCACATCACCGTAACGTGACAGCTAAGGAGACCGCGGATATAAGCCACCCGGGCCGCCAAAGTGACTTTATTTGTGCAAAGCATTGTGGTGTATGTAGTTCAACGGGAGGTTAAAAGAACGTCCGTTGTGGATCAATGTACTACATTACCCATACACCACTCGGAACAAAGGCACTGGCCCCACCCTTGCTACTGCAGTTATCTGCAGTACTGAGTCACAGTACGTGATTGCAGCGCAAGTCAGGAAACTTTGTTTTCGTAATACCGTTTGTATTTAACAACCAGATAAACAATTTAGAAGTATATAAGTGTGTGATCATTATGTTCTTACTCTTGGAAAGAAAGTATGTGGCTAAACATTTATTAATGAGCTGACTGATGTATCCCGGAGCTTTTCACTAGAGGGCATCTGTTAATGCTCGTTGCTGAGACAGCTAGGTTATAGCTGTAGCGCACGTTTTGTGCTTACGACTTAAGAGCTTAGATCTGGTTAGGCAGTACATCCCCCTGACTGATGGTGTGTCCATTTATTTATGCATATATCTGTCTCGTTTTGCAAGGCTAATGTAACACACATATTGACCCAAACCAGCAAAAGTAGGCCAGTGAGCCTCATTTGAATTTGTTTCTCTAGGCCACTGAAGTGTGCTGTAGACACTGCCAGGCCAGTGCTGAGCGGATTCAAGTCACATGACCGATATCGACGAATCAGAGCCACCCGGACCAAGGACAGCTCAATCCAGCGTGTGCAGTATGAGACTTGACAGGAGCCTGAAAGTGTATGTGAGGGGGGCTGAATAAGGGGCTTATCCGGGGGGGGGGTGTATCACAGGACTGCACAGACCAATACAATGCCGAACAAGTCGAGAAAAGACAAGGTAGGACTGCTGTTCATTAATTAAATAAAATTTAAGATAATCATTCTTTTTATTTGTTGTGTCTATGTATCTCTGTATCATTGTGTTGTTTGGTTAGTCTGTCTATCTACAGTAACTTATTATTATGAAGACTAATACTTTTATACACTTTTCTGTATACACAGGATTCATCAAAGTCTGGGAAATCCAGCAAAAGTGGGAGCAAACACCAAAACAGCCATGACTCTGAAAAAGAGGTAAACTACAAGATTCTTACTTTCACATCTAGTAATCTATTGCGCTGTTAAGACAGATTTAAAAGGTAGAGCTGCTTTACAAGTAGATTTGTAAAACAGTAGATTAGCATAATCTTTTACTTAATAGTAAAATTTTATTAGCTGTTGCAGTAATTTGCAAAGCATGCAGAATAATCATGGTTGTTTACTGGTAGAAGTTGGCTATTCAACTGTATCAGTGTTGTATAGTGATCACCATTGTTAAATCGTAGCATCCAGCATGCTGTACTATTCTAAGCTAGAGGTGAGAGCTGGGGTGGATTCCAGGGACTACAATCCTCTTTTGGCATTCAGATCCACTCTAAATACAGACTAAATACAGAAAAGAAAAAAGAAAATGTTACGTCCCTTTGAGCCATGCAGTAGTTCAAATGTAAAACAAGTAATAGTTAAAAGAGAATTATGATGATTTTTCTAAATTTCTGCAAAATTCAATTGTTGAAATGTAAATAAAGTAATTCAAAGTAGTTTGATGTAGAGAAACTTGCCAACTCAGATTTCTTTACAGTGGTGGTGATAGGAACCAGGGGTCGGCATGTCTACAATGCAAACATAACCATTTTATTTAATGTGCAAAACTATCAGTGAACCTGCACGTCTTCTGAGTTTTTCTATGTAACATTAATAATGGTAAAGTAGTGGTAAATCCCAAAAAAAGTTTTCTTTAGGTACTATTTTGCCATATAACAGCCAACAAGTACCTCTCTGTTAACATTTTTTTAAATTACAAATATGTTTTAGCCTTATATCAAGACTATCGTAAAACAATGTCTTAGGTGTCATGGCATGTATATCTTAGCATTTCATGTAATAACTTTCAGGGGGGTAGATTTTAGAGGCATTAAATACTTTGGATGTCTGGTTTCTATCACCTTTGTGAACATTTCTTGATATATTTCTCTAGAATGGCACATTTCTCATCAAACCACTCTATATGGCTTTGTTTGTATATGTACGGTTTGATCATGCACTTACTTTGAAAAAAAATTGTGGAATTCTCCTTTAAATAAGCTGTGGGTGATTCCGTTTTTGTTTAGGAGTTCATTTTTGTTTTTTATTTCATAAAAAATAGAGTGCACTATTGTATGGAAAGGTTTGTGATGGACTATGTGTTGTTCTTTTTCATGTTGTTTTACCAACACAAGGGCCAGATCAAATCTCATGACAAGAACCTTGTCTAGTTTCAAAGGTATTCTAGCTTCATGTAGGTTAAATTGACTGAATTATTTGCATGCAAAAGACAAGGGAGAGCTCTATTACCCAATAGTCCACTGGCACATTCAACAGATTCCGCAAACAAAAGCCTATCTGCTCAGATTGCTCCTCTACAAAACACCTGATCTTCTTCATGCAGGAACATGACCCTTATCCGTGCCCCCTCAGCCCTGCAGCCTCTGAGGCAATTAGGGTGACAGGCGATCCACCGCTTCCGTGGACAGGAACTCAGAGGTTGTAAAGGGAACCGGGTCTCTGTGACTTTTGTTTCCACAGGGCTCCAATAAGAGAAGCAGCAGTGCGCCCCCCGCTGCCCAGCTGATGCGGGTGAAGCAGTCTTCCTCCCAGGGTGCACTGAAGAAAGAGAGGAGGCTAAGCGCGTCTTGTTTTCTCATCAGCACCAACAGAGAGCTGCACAAGCTGCTAACCTTCAAAGGTACACAATTAGGTCATTTTAAGCTGTTGCTGTGTTGAGAAAGGAGGAGGAAAAACTTCTACAGCTAATTTTTTATCACAGTGGAACTTGAAGACATTTAAGGAAATTGAACATGCAAAATACAGTCAGAAAAAATTCCCAGTAGAAAACTGTTAAATAACAGTGGACAGAAATTTATAGTAATGTACATTCTTTACAGCACAGTAACTTACCATTTTAATACAAAACCAATTCCAAAAAAGCTGGGGCAGTATGTGAAATGGCAAAAAACCCAAAAACCGAAAGCAATGAATGTGTGTGTCCGGCAATAATGGTGCCTTCACCGATGTGCAAGTTACCCACTCACACTTCCCCATACAATGAGAGACCCAGGCTTTTAGGTAACAATCTGTATGGTGCTTTCCTTCACTGGCCTGGAGAACACATTGTCTATTATTTCTATAAACAAAATGAAAGGTTGACTCATCAGACCATGAGGCCACAATATACATTTCCATTGTGCATCAGTCTGTTTCAGATGAGCTCGACAGTTTGTCAAAGTATTCCTAAGCACGTGTTGTGATCTTCATCACAGAAGCATGTGGGTTTTAATGGAATGCTGTCTGAGGTGTTGAAGGTCATGGGCATTCAGTTGTGGCTTTAGCCCTTGCCCTTTAGGCACATTTTTCTGGATTATATGTATCTTTTGATGTTAATGTGTAGTATAGAGGGTGAAATATGTAAAATCCTGGCAATTGCTCACTAAATGTTATTCTTGAACTGTTGGAATTTTCACTAAAGCGTTTTGACCAAGTGGCGAGCCTCGGCCCATCCTTGCTCAAACAGAAAGTGGCCTTTCCTGGATGCTTCTTTTATATCCAAGCATGATTGCACCACCTGTTAAAGATGCTTTTTGAACATTTTACAATGTTCCCTGTATTAAATTGCCCCTGTCTCAACCTTTTTGGAATGTGGTGCAGGCATCAAGTTCAGAATTAGCATATATTTACAAATAGCAATCAAGTTGAAGATGAGAAAACAAACATTTGTTAAAGTAGTTTAATAAATCATTGTTTTCTATTTTTATTTACATTTAACCTACTTGTAGTTGTAATTCTATTAAACAAATATTACTATGGACAATTACTTGGATGTTGTACTGTATTACATTTCATTAAATTTCATTACATTAATTTTATTACATTACATTAAATTTCTCAGTTGAAAGACCAAAAATAGAAAATAACATTAGTTTAAGCATATATTACTGATCTGTTAAAGTGTTATAGGCTGTCCAGCCCACTTCCCTCAGCTGAGGCGAGCTTATTTCAAACTCGTAGGATCACTTATGTAGCTTCTAAGCTCTGGAATTGCATTCTAGAGGGTATTAGGAATGCAAGTCTGATAGGTGTTTTCAAGTCCAGATTAAAAACATATTTGTTAAGGCTAATTTGTAACTAGTGTATTGTACTGTTATTTCATGCAGACCATAGAATTGTATAATGTATAATTGTGTATTTCCAACGTTTTACCTATCTTCTTTTGAGATTTTGTTAAAAAAAGTTATTAAGAAACAGTAATTTCCAGAGTTTGGCTAATGCCTTGTGTGCAACAGTTGTACTGCAGTGCTTCTCCTAAGGTAGAAAGTAAGGACAGGCTTTAGAAACACTTCCAGAGAGTGAAATCTAAAGAATTCTCAGTGTCATATGAACAAATGGAAAAGATAGCTTTGACTCTCAGTTCAGCACAGAAGCGTAGAACGTCAGTGTTCTCTTTTTCATTTATAACGTACAAAAGTAGCTCAAGGTCAGAGACATTAGAAATGGGGAAATCTTCTTTCAAATTATTGATTATCCATTACATTGCCATGATCTTGTATTCAGGTGCCTGTGGTTGTGTAAGACATGCAGTGACTCATAAGGAACAGTTATCAAAAGTGGGCCAAATTAGACCAGCACAGGCTTAGTCAGTTGGAAAGATAGAGCAGGCATCAAGGTTTTTTCAAAGATTGTTTGTTTATTTAGTGCACTGGTGGTGTTATACACAATGTGTTAGCAGTAAACTATAGAGAAGAATAAAATCATTATGGTTGTCAGGCATGCACTGCACAGTGAGCTTTATCTGCCCAACAAACTGGTGGACTTTCATGTCTTTGAAGTGGCAGTTTTCCAAACAGGCTTTGGATTAAGAATTGATAGCCCACATGGAACCTCATCCTTTTTAACTTTCAGGAGATAGCATGGTGCATAATTCATGGTGCAGCGGATGCCAGCGAATGTTTGCGCTCAGTCTCGATGACATAGTATACTCAATCTCATCTGGAAAACAGTGTGCCCCACAGGAGTAGCATTTCAAAATAACTTCTTTTTTCAATACTCTGCAAACCACAGGCTCCACATGACTCTTTGGTTTTTTGCTGTTGTGACTGAGCCAGACCTGTTTGGTCTAAACCAGATCTTGTGGTTCTTACAGTCACTCCCACCTTTTGTAGAATCTCTTAATTACTGTTGGCTCGACAGAAGTTACATGAATGAAGTGAACTGGTACTTTGCAGTTTGTCAGTGCATACGCTGTCATGCCACACATTTTATCTTACAGGGTTTACAAGGCACATCTCAATAATTCATGCTGTCTTTTGTGTACACTAGGTATCTTTAGACAATATGTGCAACAGTTTTCCAGTAATAGCCTCTGTATATACTCCATTCAAGTCGGAATGTGATGAACATGCACCACTTGGGGGACCCCAAAAGTCGCACAGGCCTTACTTTTTGAACAAACAGGCAGATGTTGCACTTGCTGGCAGAAATAAATGCCAGCACATGGATTCAGTGCAGCAAGAGTGCACATTGCAGATTGACCCTCAGCCACAGCAGTGCCTTTGTACAATATACCCAGTCCGAGACAAGGTTAACACACCCCTCTCTCTGTTCATGCTTATCAGGACTCAAAAGCATGCCGCTAGCAAGAGTAAGACTGTATGCTGTAAAAAATCAGTCAGGTAAACTTACAATGATAAGGCAACATACTTCACAGACTTAACTCAACTTAGTCAAAAGTTTCCTTAAATCACATCTTTTAAGTACTGCATCTCGGTTGAGACAACAATACTGTTTAAGTTGAGTTTGCACAAATGCACCCTAGCCTGGGAGTGGCTAATGTAGCTGACGAGTAATGGAAGCTTAGCAATTAGCATGGTCAGGTTGTTTTGGAATCTCAAATAGGCTTGCTTATGTGGTTTCATATGTGATGGATTTATCATTGGCATCCTTGTTAAAGGTATCAAGACTTCACCCAAAATCTTTGCAGGGGTTTAGCTTTCCGAATAAACCCTGACCATCAAAAACCAACATAAAGTACACTAAAAAAAAGTTAGGTCAACATGAAACTTGAAGTCAATCTTCTGCATACCTTTTTTTTATTTTCTCAACTTAGTTTAGCTAAAAGTTCTCCTAACTTACATTTTGAGTAATGCATCTACAGTGAAAGGAAACAAGTATTCAGACATTTTTCTTTTTGTTATTTAATAAACTTACAGTGCATATATGCACTTCAAATGGCTTTTGACTTTGTACTTATACATAAGAACAAAAATTATGTGTTCATAAGCATAAGCAAAGATATGTTTGAAAAAACAAACTTAGTAGAGACAAAACATATTCAAACACCACAAATTAATAACATTAGAGCATTTTTGCAAAGTCGTTGACAATAATAGCTTTGAGATGTCAGCTAGCTTTCACAGCATTGTCGTTCAATTTTGGCCTATTTCTCTTGGCACACCATTTTGAATTGACAAAAAGTTACCAGAGTTTCTCTGTTGGACTCTCAATTTCAAAATCCTCCATAAATTTTGAAAGAGATTTCAAGTCAGAAGATTGGCTGGGCTATGCAAGCATCTTTTTTAGAAACCAGTCTTGAGTTATTGTGTCTGTATGTTTGAGGTCATTGTCTTGTTTAAGTTTCCATCTTCTCCCCACAATGTTTCTGTTGATGACATGTCCCAGTGCTGTTTGCTGAGAAGCAGACCCATATCATGATGCTCCCAATTCTGTACTTCACTCTGGGTGTGGTGCTTTTGGGATCATATGCACATCCCTTCTTCTCTAAATATGACAAGCTGAATTATTGCCAAATCTGAGTACATTGTACAGAGTACATTGTTCCACAACAGTACTGATTTGTCTAATTGTGTGCAAACTCTGGACATGCATCTCTGTCCTTCTTTTCAGCAGAAGAGATTTGCATGGGGTGTAGGGTTTCAAGTCATCCTACAACTCTTTTCAAGTGACTACTGTTTCCTCTTTTACCTTTTTCTTATCCCATTTCCTGGCTGTAGATGGGTCTCAGAGGAGCTAGCTGCTCTATGGTACAACACAGTCACTTTAGCTCAGTTGTTTTACTGTAGCAAGTCACACTGAAGCAAGCTGAAGTTCCAAAGCACATCAGCATTTATTATTGGTCTCATGCACTCAAGCTAAACATAATGTAAATAAAATATGTAGAAGGCCAATGAAGAACTGTGCGGTAAAGGTAGCATTTAAATGCATAGCAAAGAGAATTAACAGGCAGCGTCTTAACGATCTTTCTCTCTCTCAAACACACACACAAAAAGAAAAAAGCTGACTCTCTGTGTGCATGCCCACACACATCTTAAACATGCATCCCAATTTCCCAACATATTTACAAGTTTTTTAACGGTAAGTCATCTCTAGTTCACTCTCATTTCTTGTCTCAAAACAGCAATTATTGTCTTTTACTCATCAGCATTGTGTTACTTGTCAACGAAATCTTTGCACTGTCACCCAAGCCTGCTTTCCTAATGCATATTATCAAACGTATTCTACTGACAGGGATGTTTAAGGTCTTTGCTAGGGCTCTGTAGCTTTTTTCCATTTAAGTGTTGTGTAATAATGTTGTCCCTGACAGCTTTCTTCACCTTTACCATGATTGCTACTTGTCGCATGATATTAAATAACAAGAACAGAAGTGTCTGAATACTTGTTTCCCTTCATTTGAATGTAAGCCCAAAAAAAAAAAAATTTAGTTGTGAATCCTTAGAGAAAAAAGGTAAGTATA